TCAGGGGCGTGGCCAAGACAACGACAAGAAGAGGACAAGGCCCAGCCACAGAGGACAAGAGGAGGACAAGGCCTGGACGCAGAGCGCGGCCAAGAGAAAAGGTTTCCAGGACCCTCTCAAACCATCCTTATAAGAGGTGGCCTGAAATAGCTTTTTTGGTGCCAAAACCACCTTCTCCAGGCCACCTCTTCAAAAGATGGCTTGGGAATGGCCAAGAGGAGGACAAGGCCTGGACACAGAGCCCAGCCACAGAGGACAAGAGGAGGACAAGGCCTGGACCAGCCAAGGCCTCTGGGGGTGGAAATCCGGGCCTTACCGGCAAGGCCCGGATCTGGGGCTGCTTTTGGGGCGGAGCAGGCTCAGTTCGTCCACCTATAAGACATGCTGCAACAAACAAGGACCAGAAGAAGTTGGAGGATGTGAGCAAAGACAAGGCCTGGACACAGAGCACAGTGCCAAGCCACAGAGTTCAGGGGCGCGGTCAAGAGAAAAGGTTTCCAGGACCTTCTCAAACGATCCTCATAAGAGGTGGCCTGAAATAGCTTTTTTGGCGCCAAAAACACCTTCTCCAGGCCACCTCTTCAAAAGATGGCTTGGGAGTGGACAAGAGGAGGACAAGGCCTGGACACAGAGCCCAGCCACAGAGGACAAGGGGAGGACAAGGCCTAAACACAGAGCACAGAGCCAAGCCACAGAGTTCAGGGGCGCGGCCAAGAGAAAAGGTTTGCAGGACCCTCTCAAAGGTGGCCTGAAATAGCTTTTTTGGTGCAAAAAACACCTTGTCCAGGCCACCTCTGCAAAAGATGGCTTGGGAATGGACAAGAGGAGGACAAGGCCTGGACACAGAGCCCAGCCACAGAGCCCAGTGATTTTTTTTGAACGATGGTGTGGGAAAGAGCTCAGGTAAGGTCAATTTAGGTCTTTGCAATTTACCTCGGGTTCTTCAATTTAGGCTACCCAGTGGGTGGGGACCACCATTTCATATCTATAGAATGACTCTCAGGACCCCCCTCCACAATGGACAGGGGAATAGAATATTAGAAGAACAGCGTTCGCAAAGTAGTTAAGACACGTTAAGACACAAAATCATCATAACAACGACCAGCAACGTTCGCAACGTGCGAACCACATCAACACCACACGATCAGTCGAGCTGCACCGAGCTGCCGAGCGGCGCGGGCTGCGAACCCGCCGATGACGACGAAGACGGGCTCCACCGAGCTTCGGGACCTGCCAGATGGGCCACCACTGCCCTTGGCCTTGGCAGGTGCACGCCGGTGGAGAGCGAACTGGTGTCCAGAACTGGGAGCCAGAACTGTTTGCAGTTGTTTCAGGTCAGATTTGGGAAGTCTGGAGATGTTCGACTCGATGCAGGCCCCTCAACTTCCTGTGCCCCAGGCGCCATCATCCAGCTGTCGACCATGCACTACGTTTGGTCCTCCACCGCCGCGGGTCCATGTCTCAGGGACCCGCCACTCGACGGCGCGTAGACAGCGTGGCGAACCGCGGGTGGCGAACCGCCTTGTTTTCCACGGAACAGGGCTGCTTTGGTACTTCAGGCAGGCAAGACTTCCTGAAATCCATTCGTGTGGACGTAGGACAGGCGACTGGTTATATGATGTTATATGATATATGATAGTATAATAATGTGGTAAAATATCTATTTTACTGTAAAGTTCTACAGTCATTTGACCACTTCTAGGGTTAGGACAGCCAGTTTTGCGTAGACCAAGGTGCCAAGATCTATGTTGGAAAAAATAAAGACCAAGATGTTTTCCAGTTTTTGTGTTAGACGAAGGTCTATGTTCTCTTTGGTTTTCCCTATTGGAAGGGTATTCCCAAGCGGGGAGAACCTCAGAGAACTTGAAGCGAGAACACGTCGCTACGTGCTTATCCATTGAGTGCAACTCACCTACCCAACCCGCATACGATAGATAGATAGATAGCCAGTGGCCAAATCGAACTCCCAAAGGAACAGGGTCATAGGACCCTAGGATGTTGTGTTGTGGAACAGTTTGTCGATCAAATCGAGATCTTCTACTTCAGCCAGTTTGTTGTTTGTCCCTTTTTGAAGTCTCTCACTTGGCAGCTTCTGGTCTGTTCCCTTCAAACCTGCCGCTGCCCATCGCGTACCAGGATCGCGTGCGTTGCTCGCCCCTGGGACTTCGATGCCTTCGGCCGGACGGTGATCTATGTGGATTTGCTCGCGCTCATCACCTGGCTGCACCTCGGAAGACCGGAAGACGTCTGACGTTGGTGGGATGGCCCACGCAGCGATGGGCATGGGGCGGTGGGGGGGGTGGTGGGAGAAGAAGCGGCCTGATTGCCGGGCGGGAGGCCTGTGGGAAATGGTGCTGAACATATTGCTGTCCTACATTGAAATTGGCCAGAAACATGCTGCTCAGCGGACGAGTTGGTAGGCGGGTCAGATGAATTGTTCTTCGCTCCTAGTTCAGGCCTTATTTTGGCCGAGTTTGTATCAACTGACCTCTGGGTTGGTGGGATATGTCTTGCAAGCTGCGCCATGTCTTGAACAGTTCTTCAATCTATGCAAATCATCAAGGGATTCCCAAAGTTTTGCGGGCTTAGAGGCTTAGGGGTGAAGGAATTTGTATATTCTTCAATTTCCTCAAGCCCATTGTAGACGAGCAAACCACTCATTCGCTAGTGTTGAAGGATGACACGCACACATCGAGAAGCGTTTCATGAAGAC